TGGTTATATACACACACAGGTGTCATCCACCTCGTCATGTGACCTGACACCTACACTCTCAGTGACAAACTACAGGACCTGAAAGACTTGAAGTTGGAGAAGAAACCCTTCAGGTCTGGCCGTGCATGAGGCTCGCTGCACATGACTATAAACACGGTGATAACTGAAGATCACCTGACTGCAATAAGCAGGAAGTCCTGAAGGCACACATTAGGCTCAGTGCTGTGTTTAATAATGTGGCGCTTTAGTACTTGTTCATGACTCTTATTATCCCTTCATGATAAAAACTGGAAGTACTTCCACGTGAGAGCAGAACAGCAGGAAGCTGTGAACTGAGCTGAGACACAGCGCTATAAAACTAACAGTTATAAAAGCGTCTTTAAAGGTCTGAGAGCATCGTAACTACGTTCAGAGGAACCCGAGCCTTGCACTCATGAACCTGTCACCAAACACTTCTTATCTTTGCTCTTTATTTGATCTCAGACCAGCAGGTAAACTAAAAATAGCCTAAAAGGGAGGTTTTCAATTATAAATGAAAGTGGACATTATATCACCCCACCCCCACTGTATCTGCAGTCCACACATATATGCTTATTAATGCTAAGCACACACATAAAACTCTATTACTCACACAACACACACACAAGCCCGTTCAGCTATCTTAGTGAGGACCTTCATTAACATAATGTTTTCCCTAGCCCCTTACCCTAACCATCAAAAATGAATGCCTAACCTAATTGTAACCCTGACACTAAAACCACATTTTGAGCCTCAAACAGGCCTTCAAACTTGTGAGTGTGTCCTCACAAGTGACTGTTGGTTCTCACAATTATAGCAGAATGAAGATTTCGGTCCTCACAAAGATAGCTAGACAGGAACACACACACACGCTGCAGCAGCTGCATGTGTTTAAAGTCTTTAGAAAGTAAAACCCACTTTGTGCTCCTACACTGAGGAACCATCTCTGACTTATCTAAGAACTCAGAACGACTGACGGCAGCACATCAGCGACCAACAGACACCAAACAGACAGGCGGTCACTGCCATCACACTCAAGGATTAAAACAAACTGTAGAGCAACCCACTTTCTTCAGCCTTAAACACGACCTTTAATCTGAAAATACTGATGGGAAGAAAAAAAGCTTGATTCTTTGAATTAACTAATAACTGATGACCAATCAAAATTAACATTGAAGAACATGAAGAACTACTCAGCAATGCAGAGACTGAATCAGACTCTGACGCGTTCCTTTACTGATGATGATAAAGTGACCCTCTCCGACCTCAGCTGACCTTTCAGCTTTTTAAAGGAGGCAAGTTTGATTTTTGGAGGTAAACATTGTACATGTCGTCGCAGCGCATCATCTGCCTCCATCTCCTCCTATCCTTCCTTCCTCCTCTGTCACACCACCCCTCTGCATGTCTTCTTGTTCTCCTCCTGCTTGGCAACTCCATCTTCATCCTCCACCCTCACTCCTCTGCACATGCTCAGACCATCTCAGCCTCTCTGACTCTGAGCTGCCTCTCTGATGGACTCGTTTCCGCTGTGTTGCTTTAATCTTTGTACCAGAGGCACAGTTACACTCGTGCCTTCCCGTGCTCCCTCCCTACATGCTAAATAACATGAACGAGTGTAACAATGAAACCACGACATAAGCAACATCAAACTTCAGCCAACAATCTTGTAATCCACATCTACAAACTGAACATGCTCGCTCACAGATCTATGTCGTGACCGCTCATAACGAGCACGTCGTGTCTGGCCGTGAGCTCCCACCAAACCAGACGCGAGCCAGCCAACAGACGGATTCTGTAGATGAAGTGAAAGCTGCTTTGATGATTCACCGTCTACCTGCCAGCTGGGATTACACATAATCCCTGTGTGACTGTGGCCCCGGCTCACGTTCGTGTGCCGTATCATTTTTAACCATCGTCCTGACTTTACTACCTTCGCCTCGGCTGTCTACGTCGCTGGACGCCATCATGCTAGGTGGGAAGGTTTGGCAGACAGCCGGGCGTCGTCTCTCCCAGCCTCACGGATCCTAATGCAGCGAGATCAGGGAGTCCAGCGTGGACGCCTGTCCACTGCAAACAGATAAGAGATAAGAAGAGAATGAGATCTGGCAGCAGCAAAACAAAAACAGAGTCAGAAACTGAGCATGCTCACAGGCTGCTGCACGAGTCCCTGAACTGGACCTCTGCACCGTGTTTGTGCTGCTGGAGCCTTCTTAATGACATTATATGATCAATAACACAGCTGCTGTGAGGTTAATCATGCTAACATTAAAGGGAAACAGACTTCATGACCTCCTTCGTACTCGCACAAGGTTTCAAACACACGCTTCGTTGTTCGTGTCTGATGGCTTTCGGAAGAAAAGCCAAAAGAGGTTTTTAGGGGACAATTCTGAGGCTTGACTTCTCCTGGCACTTCCTCTTCAGAGGAGCGTGTTTCCCAGCAGCGGTTCACCAAGCGTGTCGCCATCAGGAGCGACTCAGCATTTTTTTGTTAGTTTTTTTTTTTTTTTTTTTTACAGCGAGTCATGACACGAGAGGCCTGAACAGCACAGCACATAGTTTCTGCACTTAAAACAGCATCAGCAGTTCAATGTGGGCTTTTATATCACTATGTAACAGAAAGGTTCAGTCCTGCAGCATTGCTTCTCACCTTTGTGCTCCCACACAGCTGCTTTATATTCCAGGCTTCACCCGCAGAACAAAGCAATCAGTTATTAAATATCCCATTTCGAAGGTGCTCATCTTCAAGTACCTTCATAACTGAACTCTCTGGCCTAAAAGCAGTCAGCGTGACATTCAGCTGTTGTTGGGTGATATTTGTAACACTGTGCATACAGCTGATTCAAAGCCTCCTCGGCCGGCTGAGTTGACAAATGAGCGTGTTTTTATTTCACACCAATAATCAAATTGGAAAGTATATAAATTAAAATGTTGCCCAGGTGAGCAGGAAGTGATTTGCCTGAGCAGGAAACACTGCTGAGTTATAAAGATTCATTCAGCCATTCTCAGAAACTACGATTAGACGTTACTGATCGAGCTCGTCCTGATGCTTAGGTGTGTCCCGATGCCCTCTCTCTCTTACACTCTGGTTTAATCTAATGGCCAATGATCATCATCAGCGTGTGTTTGTCAGGTAAATGTGACACGGAGCCTGCTGCTGTGGAACACTGTGTACATTGATGGCTGAGCAACATGAAAATGAGCTCGTTATCTCACGTGTTTATCTCATCTGCAGAGAAGAAGCCTTTATATATTTACCTACAAACAGGAGGAGGTTTAAAGTGCACCTGTGCAGATGTTGACCCCAGCTGCTCTTCAGAAACCGCGCCAGCCGAGTTGGAGTATTTGTCATGTTTATTTACTTTCTGGTATTTTCTTTTCTTCTGTTTTCGTCCTCTGGGCCTCGCGTTAAAACAGATATGAGCTGCTGTGTGTTTTACTGTGCAGGTAAACCGTGACAGCCCGAGCCCCCCGGTGCTTTAACGGCAGTCAGCGCGATAATCGCATCATTTTAAACTGTCAACGGACACAGACCCGACGGGCATTCCCGCCATAAACACAATAAACGAGCCCACGGTCCCGCAAAACCGGCTGTGGACGGAGGGTTAGCTGTTAGCCATAGTTAGCTGTGTGCTGCGGTGCCATTTTCGGAGTAAACAACGAGCCGCGGCAGCAGCGGCCAGCCTTACCTCGCAGACACCGCGCAGACTCGGTCCTCCTGGCCTCGTTATCAGCTCTCAGTCCGCCGCAGGCCGCTTTATTTTCGTATCGTGCTCATGGTGGCGAAGCAGCACAGATTGAAGGCAAAGCGGGACTGTGCTCTGTCGGGCTCGACTCTCCAACAGACAGCCAGCGGTGTGGTCACATGACATTGTCGAGAGGGACGGTCGTGGCGTTCGACGTGATCCCGTTGCCATAGATACGGATTATAATGTTGTGGCGGTTGGTAAACCATTTTATTTTATTATTTATTGGTTTAATCTTTTTTTCTCAGTTTTCTGTTACCATTTGCGCAGTCCTGTATGTTCACTTCTACACAATAAAATAAATAAATAAGCCACCCAGCACATCAGCTGTTCTCCTTGTTACCATCTGGCAGACGTTACAGGAGTCTGTCTGCTCGGACTACAAGACTTAAAAACAGTTTTTACCACCAAGCCATACGACACCTCAACCACAACACTTAAACACACACAACACAGTCCACAGGACGCACTCAGAAGCTACCCTGCAGCTTCACAAGTACTCTGTTTAATCTGCACTGGTCACTCCACTTTATTGTTGATATTCATATTTAAAAAGTCTATTTATTTATTTTTTTTATTATATTTTCTTCTACTGTACCGTGCTGCTGAGTGACTGCTGCTCGTCAAATACATTTCATTGCAATGTTGACCCTGTGCTAACGTGCATATGACAAATAAAACTGAAACTGAACTGAAATGAATAAAATCACGAGTTTTACGTGAGCTTATCGAAAGGAATACGATTACGTAGACTAAAACGCTCTGTTCTCATATTCTCAAATCTGCTTTCGGATTCATTGGGCTTTTATTTTGGAAACTCGTTTAAGGATTTAGGTTCGCTTGCTGTGTGCACCGGGGTAGCTAGGACAAGGTAAAGACTATCTCTCTGAATCGAGGAGCTTTCACAGTCTTACTACGTTATGATTGCAGACTTCTCCAACTGTCTGTAAATGGTACTCATGGCCTCTGATCAATCAGTGGTTGTTAGTCATTGGTCACGACAGTTTGCATATTAATCATCAACTTTTTGGGATTACAATAGTGCAGTTTGTTTTTGTTTGTTCAGCTTACTCAACCAACCTATTTAGCCAAGTGAAACTAAAAGTGTACCGTTCATGTAAATAATATATTTTGTATATAAAAATATTTTGATTAGAGGGTTATTTTATGTATATTAGATATAAACATTGTGAAAACGGTCTTGAAAATCTTGAAAATCTGGTATTCTTAACCCGGATATCCGGTGTTTGTTGTGCTAACTGCAGCTAGCTTGCGGCTAAACAGCGGTCCCATCCCGGGAGTATTTGGAGCCGTGTAGTTACGTGGAGGCAAAAGTCTACATCGGTCTGTTCGCCGGGTTAGGACACGTCACTTCAGACATGACTGTAAGGTTTTAGGGGAGATTTATGCAGTTTTGTCGGCGTGAAGTTTAACGTTAGTCCGTAGCTGCTTTCTAAATGTCCGTGCACACGGTACAGGAGTGTTCTTGTTCTGAAATAGCTTTAAACCATAACCCGGGGCTCTTGCAGCTGCTCTGCTCGGCTTACTTTGTTGTGAATGTGGTACATGCTTTAGGAAATGAGGTGTGGGGTTCACTTTAACCGGACTTTGATGTGTGTCTGACAGAAGCACGAGTTTGAGGTGGCCATGACGTGTGAGGGATGCTCAGGAGCTGTTACCAGGATCCTGAACAAGATGGGAGGTGAGGCTGATCGTTCAGTTTTATTTATACAGAGTCCTCTCATAGCAGCAGTTAGTTTATACTGGAGTGGAGAGACTCCAGTATAAACGGAGCAATCATACACTTGGCATGCGAGGCTCATGCAGACGGTTATGGTTTTCACCTGACTCTCTGCAATTATTATTGGATTGGGTAATTATCTACCTTTTTCCTGGAGCTTTGTAGAAAGTTACAGCATTTGGAGGATCACCGCCTCACAGTGTTAGCTCTGCTGTCACAGGAGCGATGAGGAGATTAAAGTATTGAGCAGAGTTAGGGCTGCTCGATTATGGCAAAAATGATAAACACGATTATTTTCACTGAAATTGAGATCTCGATTATTTGACGATATTTATTTAACCCTTTAAGACCTACCATAGAACCAAGTCCGCCAGAGCTTATATTATATTTTTACATGCTGTAGTGCCATATTTGGGAGCATTTCAAGTTTATATACATCAACACAACTGTTATAGCTCATATTTTAATAATATGTATGCATCAAGTCAGTAATTAGTAATTAATTACATTAGTAATTACATTAATTGCAAAAAAAGTGCAATAAACTACAAAAAAATTGAAAATAGTTTTTTTTACATATATTTCTACCTGGGGAAATTTAAGAGGCTTATTCCTCAAAACATTAAATACAAAAAAGTTGCAAAAAATAGTTTACAACAACAGGAAATTTATTTTGAGTGTCTTCATAGTTTTATTTTGGAGATACAGCAATTTTTATATACTGCAGGAAAAACAAAAAACAATCCTATGATGCAAATTTGCAAAGAAAACAGCAGGTGCATCAAAATAAACTATTTCCAGCAGTGCAATTCGAGTTCTAAGTATCCCAGAAACTATTCAGAAAAGTCAAACATGACTTATAAAAACACCAGTATAGGCTAAGTAAAAAAACTACATTTCCGCGAAAAATGACCTCACTTCCGGTGTCTGTCAGGAAATGGCGGACATGCCATAGTTCGTGTTGACGTCTTTTTCAATGTGGGAAGTGTTACAAACAGCTGATCGGATCGGCAAAGCCTGTTTCTGGAATATTATGTTTTTGTTCCTGCAAGCGCTTTTTATGCAATTTTTGCAAAGCTTTATGTGGAAGGAAACCGTGACCGAGGACAAGCTGGTGGTATAAGATGTAAGCACAACTCCTCCGGTTTCATATGCAAAACAAATTATTGCGCTAGCTTAAGCGATTCCGGTTCTACAGGGATTTAAAGGTTTAACAATAACAATGTATTGAATAATGACTTTAAAAAATAATATAAAATAGTGTGCAAATACTGATAACAGTGCAAATGTTTGCAATATAAACATGTCTACTTGATCCACGTCTGACTCCGCCAACCCATAATGTTTCCACACCACTGAAGTTTTTTTTACCTCTCTTTTCAACCAATGGCAGTCACTCTCCTCTCCAAATAACTTCTGCTTAGCTTTCTGAGCTTTCCTCGGGTCCTCTTAATTGTTGTGATGCGTGTTCAAAATGCAGAGAGGTGCGCTCGATTTGCCACACGGAGCAGCGCGAGAGTAAAGCACGAGGGAGGGGCTAATAATCGGCTCGGTCATTTTTAATGATCGTTGAAAGCCCAGATCGTAATCGTGATTAAAATTCGATTAATTGAGCAGCCCTAAGCAGAGTCAGGGATATGCTGGGGGAGGGGGTAGATGTGAAGGCAACGTTCAGGGTCACCTGGTCCAGCCCTAACTATATGCTATGAAAGTTTGAAGCCTAATCTTAAAGGTAGAGAGTTTGTGTGTCTCCTGAATCCAAAAAGCAACCCTTTTTGTGCTGACCCGAGCAGTTTTCCTTACTGCATGTGCCCATCAGAAGTTAGTGAAGGTGGTCTCAGCCTGTGCAGCAACCATTGCAAAAACCAGAAGCATGTTTTGTCCTGTCTGTTCCAGTTCCTCACGTTCGGCCCACAGGTCCCCTGATGCTGCTGTTTTCCTTTTAGCCTCGCGTGACTCAATGATTCAAGTATCACTTCTGTTTTTACAGCACGTCCTCCCATCAGTGGAAATGCTGACTGTTTTAGGGAGGCAGAGACATCAATGTGATTTTGTTTTTATGTTCCTGTTCCCAGATGTGAAGTTTGAAATTGACCTGCCGAAGAAGCTGGTTTGGATCGAGTCTGACAAAGACGTGGATGTTCTGATGACGGCGCTGCAAAAGTCCGGAAAGGAGGTCAAATACAACGGCACGAAGTGAAGGACCTGCACCAGGTGACCCGGAGCGTTTATAGTCCTCGTGTTTTCTGTAGATTGATGTTTATGACGGCCATAAAGTTCCTGTAAATCTGCAGCTTCGCGCTGAGTTTACTGCATGCAGGAACATATCAGGGACACGATCTTCTTCCAGCAGCTCACAGAAACGTTAACAGGAGAGCGCGCTCCATCGGCTGACTTTAACCTTTGTGCACATTTAGAGGATGTTTATCTTCTGCTTCTCTCAGATCCCCCAACACTTCATTCAGAGTCACATCACAATTAATAGAGTTACACTTTTATTTTTTCATATTTTTTTTAATGCAAATGTTTTTTTCTTGTCTTACTTTAGGAAATAATTCTTGCTGCTGCAAACTGAAGATTTAAGATGAAATTCAAGTTAAAGTCTGAGACCCTCAGTGAGCCTGCACCCCCTCCCATCCAGCTGTCACGCACAAACACC